TTACTCGTGGTACGTGTCGGTAAAAGAAAAATATAAAAAATGTAGGAATACTCGGTAGATTAATAACAACTAACGCGTTAACTCTTAGCTCTCAATAGTCACTCCATAACTCTCGCTCTCTGATTTTTGCTCGCCGATTATTCTACCTCATTCACCCTCTTTTATTCTTTCACTTGCTCCTTTTCTCTTTCTCTGTTTCTCCACATTTTTTATCTGATTATCTTCGTTTCTCTGACACTCTCACCCTCCCGTTCCAAACACTTTTCATTCACACTCTATCGCTCCAGCTTTAGCAGGAAAAATTCTATCATAATTCTGTCTCTCTGGTCCAAACACCAGCTTAAATATTTAGAACGACAATCTGTCATTCCCACAAGAAGAACACGATTTACGTATTACCCAGTGCACAAGATCAAGCAACGAATTTCGAACTTGTAAAGAGTTTGAGAAATTTCGAAGATAGAATTTCTGGTGAATTAAAAAGAATTTCAACTCTAATGGCAACTCTGTCCATTTTCTCACGGTGTGACAGAATTGAATTAGTACGCGATGGGGAGATGAAGTTCCATAATTTTTCTTAATTTCCCTGTTACTCGTACTTCTTGGGGAGTTCGCTGAATTATCCACGTTCATGGCTTGTTTACGCGGATATTCGTTATAATTTCTGCAGTTACAGGGTGTGCAGAGGTTCGCGGTTTAATTAACGAAGTTAATGGAGATACAGTGATATTTTGTTCAGGGGAAACGACGATGAGTTTAGTCGCTTTTCGTGTACCTTATTTGTGCCTTATTTCGCGTTCGAACAAAGTTTTCAACGACAACACACTGGCTGGTGTTGAATTTGTGGACACGTGTTCGGTTTCAATGGTTCGTAACTTATGGTAACGAAGAGGACGCGCGATAGGTGTACGCCTCCGTCGATTATGTGGGCGACGATGATTTAATACTTGCGTCACCTTGAAACTGCACGTCATCCCACGATTTTAATTTTCAGCCGATTCACTTCGTGAGATAATAATCGTTATTACAGCTACAACGAGACGATTCTGTGCTTTTCAACCTGCGTAAATTACCATTATACTCCATAAATCCGTTGTAACTTTTGTAACAAACTTTTTGTATTTTTCACCATTTTTACTGTTCTATTTATTTTTTTTTATTTTTCTTATAGTCTAAGTTGTAATTTTGCCATACTTTTTAATTCGTTCGCTACAATGGGTGTACCAGATGTGCATTCAGAATTAAGCAATGATTTATCATTGAATTATGACCGAAATATTTAAATCTGTGAACGCATAATTATTTCGTACTAATAAAAATCAATTGCTTCTGTAAGTAGTATGTTTAGCTTCAAAAATATTATAACTATATAGACTACGGATTTCTATGCATTTATGGAAAATTTGAAGGCACAAAAATAAGCGAAAATATATAAATAAATCCAAAATATTTAGCGATTGAAACAATTACCTATTCAAAATTTCAATTTTTTTAATTATCTTCGTAAAAATATGAATTTGCACAAAAATCCTTAGTGTAATCATAAAGAAAGGGTTAACAATTTCTTAAACATCAAATTTAAAAAATTTCATTTTCACAAAACAACATTTTACAACAAATTCATCGAATTGTCCCTTTCGTTCTTCCCCGTAAGCAGCAACTCGGTTCGCCCCACATTCCCTCAGAGACGCCCTGGAAAAGCTCTTCACGAGGCCTACTGCTACTTCACCTTAATTTACGCTCGACTCTAGAGACTCGTGAAGTTTCGTGGAAAACCGAAACATCGTACTGGGTCTGATGGCGACCGTGTCGCCGGTAAATCGTAATCGACAGCCACCGTGAAGGATGCGCATAAACGAAGGTACAGTGCAGCACGACAGGACAAAAGATTGAAAAACGATTGTCGCGTCGGCTCGAGGACAGAGCTTACGCGCGTTAGATTTACGAGGCAAAAAGGAAAGTTGATTAAATCCTATTTCCCCTTCATCGTTTTCCCTCTTTTCGACACGCTTCGTGAAAGTCAGCCAACTAAGTTTCCTCCATCTCCCTCGTCTCTTTTCCTTCGCCCAAATAGTTGGGAAATTTCAATATTTTCTTTATCCCTGGTGCCACTTTATCGCCACTGTTTGCAAAGGAAAGGTTCGCTAACTGACTTTATCGTGTACAGCAAAGGAACAGCAAGCCGGTGAGAAGTTGTGCAAAGAGAGGGGGATGAAACCTTTAATCCCTGATATAAGATGAAAATAAGAACGAAGGTAGATAAAGTTCTTACGGGACAACGGTTCGAAATGTGCATTCTGAGGAGGACCTTTGTTGTGCTACTACATGCAGCGGAAAAAAATTTCTGTCCAATAAAATAACCAGGGAAGCAACTAACACAAAGGACATCTTCGAGGTAGGAATTATAATTAGGTATAACTAAGACAGAGAAGTAAGCTTTGTATTTTTAATAGGAAGATGTAGTTACATTTACTTGGTTCGGTATTATTTTCAGTGGAATTGATCCCAGGAAGGTTTAACTTCAAATTTTCAGAGTTCAATTTAATTTAAATTAAAGAATAAATAAACACGATATCTGCAACACCTTCGTCTACTACAATTAAGCGCAATTACTTAGAAAACAGATTTCTAGCGATCTTTGCAGGTTCAATTTCAGAGTGTTCAATTTAACTTTAATTAAATAAAAAATTAACGCAATATCTGCAACACCTTTGTTCACTACAATTAAGCGCAATTACTTAAAAAACAGATTTCTAGCGATCTTCGCAAGTCATTTTACGAAGAAACCTAAAATTCAAATTTTGCAGACATTTCTTTCACCTTTATCTTCGCTTCCACGGTTAATATTACTCGAAATTAATCAATCAAACCGCACAGGCTTAACATTTTCCATCTTCACCGCCTCTCGCCTATAATTTTTCTCTATTTTCTCGGCAAGCCGTTGCTCAAACTCCTAGCGCCCCGTTGGTTCATCTAAAACAGCGCGGAAAAAAGGCTGCTCGTAGAAGGAATTTCCTTTCGAGCCGCCGCCCCATCCCCATCGCTATTCCCCCAAACTTTCCCCGTAATTGTGCTGGTATGTAATGGATAACGAGAACTGCCGAGCCGGGCCCCGACAGTCCGCTTGTATCGTAAATGAACAAAAGTTTCGACGCAAAAAGCTTGGAAAGTATCGAGCTGTACCTGCGCGCCAATGGAACGACTAGCGAAGAGAGCTGGGTTTGTAGCTGGGTGAAAAGTGAGAACATGTACCAACGGATTCCATTAATAACTGCATTGTCAAACTGCTGTTCGGTGTTTTCGCGTACGCAGCTTGCATCAGGGAAGAGAGAAAGAGGAGCATTGCAACGTGGAACCACTTGAAGCTTACACTCGTTGGTGTAAACTGCCATACTTTCTGGCAACACCATTCGTTACCTCGAGAAATCTAATAGGGGGGTGGTGAACTAGAAGTTTTTCCGGTGTTCTAATGTTGCAGGATAATTAATTACGTTCGTTGTTCTTGGCCCAAAATTCACCGGAATGTTCGAAAATTGGGGAAAAAGGAATCTTGTAACGGTTGGGTTAAAAGGCGCTGGTTTCGTTTCTTTCGAAAGGGATTGTAAAATAGGTCTAAAGGAGGCTAAAACAGGCCTAAAACTGTAATTTAACGACGTTAGTTTAGTTAGTACCGACTTTCAAATTACCAAATTAGCCCTTTTCTTCCCTCATATTCGATCTCCTTTTCTACTAGAATTTTTCAGAAATTAGATACCTCTTCCTTTCGCCGCCACTTTCACCCTCTTTTAATCTATACAAGAAACGCCCTAAGATCAAAAACCGATTTTCTATATTTTCCAATTATTCACCCCTAAAAATGAATTTTACCTTCAGCAGCTCAGATTTTTCTTTCTTCCAAAATTCCAGTCATTCTCAATCAAATCTTCAGTCACTCCGAGCACCGAATCTAAGCGACAATGATCGAGACACGGTACTTCGGATTTTTCTTCAGATCTCGTTAAAAACCGTACAAATTTTCTCATCGCGATCCAAGTTTGCCAAGAGCATGTTTTTTTCAATTTCTTTCTCACTTCCTTTTCTCCGTTCGCGGTACACTCTCTCGGTAGTTTCTCGTGCTGGCTTAAATATAAGCTCGACCGTATTCGCGACGGTCCAGGATGGTGTAAAAGCGCTTGGAACATTATACGAAAGCCGGATTTCCTCTGGTTTCGGTTTAGTTCGTTAGACGCGGGCACGCGAGTGCGCATCATCGTTTCGGGCGCGATACTCGCGGGCAACGACACGCGAAAAACGAGAAACAGGCTTACACGCGCGACTCCTCTCCCGGCAAATTCAATTCTAGCGAAAATTGGTTCATTATCTGTGCGGAACGCTGCCGGAGTGTAATGCAGTTTGTTGCCTGGAATCGAATGAGAAACCGCGGAGAGCTGCAGCAGCACGTCGCTACCGCGAATTTTCCGGATTAATCATATCGTTTTATCAAGTCTTTCTGCAAGCTTTGTGTTATCTCCTTTTTTTTCTGCCTCTCTTTCGTAAATTAACCTGTGCATTCGGTTTTTGCATTCGAAGCAATAATATTTCCTTTGAGCATTTGTTTCTGGAAATTGTTGCTCTTGTATAAGACGTATTTTAGTTTTCAAATTTTGCATCGTCTCTTTGGAATTTTTGTGCGATACAGCTGTAATTTTTAACGAAAGTTTTCATTTCACCTAAAGTGTAAAATGTAATTTTATTATTTATTATTATCTACCAGAGTCTGTTTTACCGTAGAAGAAATAGAAAATTAAATATTGCATAATCTAGGCACACCATATAGCCTACTCTTTCGCAAAGGATAATTCTCTGTTGTGCGTTTATCTTACCACAATTTTCGTATCGTTCTCAAAACACTGTTTTCTGATACACTGCTCCTTTTCCTTATTACACAATATCTTCTTCTTGCCACTCTATATCACCGCGCGAGAGCAAAACGAAAGAATCCTATCCCACGCTATTCTCCTCGAAAACCTTTTTGCCGTACTATTTTCCCTTCCGTAATTACTTTTCCGCAAGAAACCACCTTTTGCTTCATTATGTCATAAATTCTTCCTCACATCGTCTAACAACCGTCCCACAGTTAGCACAACGAAGAAATGGTATCTCGCCCGATTAACAGACCTGTTTGCTCATTTTCATCGTTAACCTGTCAGGATGCGGTCACGATGAGTCCATCAAGGATACAAATTAGCCTCGTACGTTATCGCGGAAGAATTTTCAACATCTGTGTATCGTTGTCAGCGTAAGCCTAATTCGCCGACACGCGAATAGCGGAGATACTTGAACGTTGGGAGGCCAGCATCAATCTCGCGAGTTAGAAACACGGCTGATCTCTGGCGCACGACGCCATTATGATAATAAGCCTGAAGAAATATGATAAACCGGGCGTGGCGGGAATAACGATTATCATATTTCATCGCGTCTTGACGCATCGAATAATAACTAGCCACGAATTGTATCGGGTCGTTTCTTTACGGACGTTCGTCTTCCCCGTGTCGCGAACGGGACCTTTGTTTTGCCGACAAATGAGATGCCGGTTTCTTTTTCCCTGCGCCTGACAATGTACGAACAGGGTGGCGTGCGATTCTGCATACGAT